GGCATGTTTGGGATACTAATTTCAAAGAATCTGAGAAATGGTAGATATGTAAGTTGCCTTGCCTTGTAATTAACGACCAAAATTCTAATATTTTCAGCTATAGTTCAGATATAGTTTTACTATTTCGGCTTTGGAAGCGTGTTTTGAAACGAGTTTCAAATGAACTAATATAAAACTAGTTCATATCGAGGTGATATTATACTAGTTTCTAAGTAACTCTAATATAACTAGTTCATATAGAGGTGGCATAATACTAGTTCCTAAGTAAATATAATATAACTAGTTCATATCGAATGATATTATACTAGTTACTAAGTAACTATAATATAACTAGTTCATATCGAGGTGATTTAATACTAGTTGTTAATAAATTGGTATAATACTAGTTTTCATTCAATTCAACATCAGTTAAAAATTTGAAATTTTCTCATACTGGCTTTGATCTCCACTACCGACTTTCAAAAATTATACGCATTTGTCAACTAATACCAATTACCAACTCAACTAAGTCAACTGACTTTGCAAGCGTACTCATTTGTCATTCGACCTACAATGTGGTGGGTGATGAGAGGACATATGTGGTTACTAATACATACATGTGTATGTGTATAAGCATATGGGTTACACTATCTAATCCAATGAACTCTATTATCATGCAACATGTGTGTAATTTATGTCGCATTTCCATATTGGCCAAACCTTTGCAGAATGTATGGGTGGAATAAGCGGAAACCGGCAGACGAACACAAAATTTTCTTAACACCACCGCATAGCTTGTCTTCGAACTCAAGACCACTGACCACATATTTGTGGTAGTTTTGGAGTTATCATTGCGTCGCACATACATACATATGTACTCGTATGTGTAAGTAGCTGCTGCTGGTGTAAATTTATGCGAAAGTAGTTTCGCATTTCATGAAGCCAATTTTTGGTAGGCCAAGGAGCTGCCGTCCTTAGGGAAACTTTTGCCGGAAATAAGCAAAAAAAAAGTGGTAAAAAAAATGTCCGCAAAATGCTATTTAATGGCATCCAAGAAAAGATGGAGTGATACAATCATTTGTGGTGGGCGTGTGTTGGTGATTTTCTTTTTTTATTGTTTTTATTCTTTTTATTGTTGAAAGTTAAGGTTTGGAATCTCTTTGAATGTAACCCAAATTATACATATATATGACATTATATATTTTGGCATATGCTATATGACTTAATCTACATATGAGATATATGTACAGACATATATGTATATGGGTTAAAAAAATCAATTCGAACGCAATCAGCAAAATCAAAACTCAAGCTTTTGGAAAAAATATGCAAATGAAAGTTTATGCTAAAATAAAACCAAACAAAATCCACATGCAAAGAGGCATCAGCAGATATACTTCAAGTTGGCCTTTTATGCAAATACGGTACATAAAATTTATGTATATATGTTTATATAACATAAGACATTTTCACTCATAACACAACCTTCAAGCAATAAAATTTTTGTAAGAATTACAAGACAAGGTTTTAACTAGGCTTATCGTTACATTGTGATGACAGCATAATTCAATAATATTATTTATTTATTTTTTTTTAGAATTTGCAAAAAGAACAAATGCTTTTCTGCGCACTCATCTTCGCAGAGACCTTTGAAGAGGAAATTCAATGACACTTTTAGTATTTTTATCGTTTTTATCCCTGATATGGCATAGAATATACATACATATATATCTGCTGTCCTAGTATAAAATAATAAATATCGCGTACACATACTTATGTTTAGCAAAAACTAAAACATTTCAGTGAGACTGTATCAAAATATATAGCAATCAAAAATATTCTTCTTGCAATTTAAGGAAAATTTTGTATCTTGGAAAATTGCTTGAGAATTTAACCAGAATCAATATACAAAAACAAAAAAAAAAAAAAAGTTTGCTTCTTCACTCCTATCTTTATAAGGAATGCTTTTTCAAGAAGAAAGAAAAGGCTTATAATTTAATGTTATGGCCGAGCATTTAGCTTTATTTTGTGTATGGATAAGAATTTGCCAATATGTTTTCAATATCATTTTAGGCAAGTGAACGCTGGTTCGAAGAAAAGAAACCTAGCCGAGATGCTCAATTTTTAATCAGTTTTTGTAGAAATTTGGGCGGTATATCAACAATAACACACCGAATATTCTCTTTCACAACGTCAATCATCTCAGGCTTATCTGTATAGACCAACGTATTTACATAACTCCACAAAAAATAATGCAGCAGTGTTAAGTCACACGATCTTGGAGGCCACGCTACAGGCCCACAAAGCGAGATAATGCGTCCACCAAGAGTTTTCTTAAATAAATTGATTGTTTTGTTGGCTTCTTGTTGGAATCAAACTTGTAAGCACCAACATCCCCCACTTTCAAGCACCAAAAAGGCATTAAGCATGGCTTATAGTGTTTCCCATTGACGTTAACATTATCTTGGGTCTAATTTTTGTAGAAATGGGTAGCCATTAATCTCTCTCTGGGCGAACTGGACGACAAAAGTGTTTTTTTTTTTTGCTGTATCGATCATGATAGGCGAGTGGTTAGTTGCCTTTCGGAGATCCACGATTGGAGTCCTGATTTCACCAATATTCAAAAATATTTTTCTAATAGCGCTCGCCCATCGACTGGGAATACCGATCCCACTGAGTGTATTTTTGTTATGATATAAACGCTCCTTATATAAAACCATCAGACTCTCGGAGGTGGCTTAGTGTAAACTGTAGGTCCCTCGACTTATCACAAAAACATCAGGATTCAGACCACAAATTGCAGGAGGACCCCCAGCAAACCCCATTTCGGATTTTCCAATCACCTGCATAACCTGCTATTCCCGTAGATGTCACATGGCGAAGTTAAAATTTTTTGACTTTTGAAAAGTTAAAACTACGTCAATTATAAAAAATGGAAGCCTACCCACTTCAGGAACGCATTGAAATTATTTAAATGCACTATAAAAATGGCGAAAAGCTGGCAAGGATGGCTTGTAAGCCTAAATCATTTTTTTTTCGCCGTGAAGCACCTTGTCGGACGACAATACAGTTTTTGGAACAAGAGAAAATGGCTCGCTTAAATTGTTGCTTCTGTAGCCCAAAGTATAGAATTGGGCATTCCACTATCATAATCATGCAGAGTTCTTATAAAGTCAAGTCTTTGTTGTTTCTGAAATGCATGAAAATTATCCGAAATTTCAACGAAAAATCATTCTAACTGAGAAGGCCCATTTCCACTTCGATGGCTACGTCAATAAGCAAAACTGTCTCTTCTGGGATTCGGTAAACCCAAGATTTATTGTTGAAAAGACTCTTTGGTTGTTTGGTGTAACTTATGGTCTGGCGAAGTCATTGAGCCTTACTTTCTCGAAAATGAAGCTGGGGCAACAGTTACAGTGAATGGATTATGCTATCGAAAGATTACTAAATATATTTTTTTTGCCTGGTATTGGATGGTATTGATTTGGACAACGTTACTTTCAACAAGACCCATGTGATAGATAAAGCCTGCGCCAATGGGCGACCGGCGATTCAAGACCTCAATGATGGAATTCGTGGAGCTATTGATGAAAGATGCACCAGGTTTTGCTCTGTGTTTGGTGGGATTGGCAAGGAATCATCTACTACATGCTGCTCCTCTTTGGCCAAACGATCAATTCGGCCCTCTACTACCAACAACTGCAGCACTTTAGAGACCGAATTGTGTTCCATCAGGGCAACGGCAGGCCATACACGTCTTTGATGATGCGCCGGAAGCTCCAGGAGCTTGGATGAGAGGTCCTAATGCACCCACCTGACCTGGGACCAAGTGATGACTATCTTTTCCTGCCCATGGCGAACGCGCTTAATTGTGAGATGAGAGAGAATTGGCTTTCCAAGTTTTTTGCCAATGGGGGCGCAGCCTACTACGAGAAGGGTATAATGAAGTTGGCATCTCGTTGGCAACAAGTTTACGAACAAAGCGGTGTTTATTTGCCTTAAATTGGACAAATGAATGAACTCTTTACTTGACCAATATATCGTGTTCTTCTTTTTGGTTGATCAAGCATCGAAAACACTAACGACTTGTTCAATGTTACCACAGGGTCTGTGAATGGTCTATCAGAAGAGCCAACGTCAGAATCATGGATCTAATGATGCTCGAAATGGTTGGATAACGAAGCCTTATGTTCAAGTTTCTGTGTAGCTCAGTATCTACCACAACCTAACCTTATCTTGTCATTAGTAATATTTACTAGAATATCAGGCTCAGCATTTTAGGAAATACTCTCGTCTATATGATACTTCATGCAGTTTAAAATCTGTATCTGCTATCAAATTTTCGAAAATTTGAATCCATCAAGAAGCTTTTCTTCAACTTTTTAAGTGTTACTGGATATATTTTGGTTCATAATACTTAGTAGTTTCTAAGGAAGAAGTAACAAAGAGGGGCCCAAAAGGCCTCGAAAAAAAATAAAGTAAGTTGCACTCAAAATTTTCTAATATCAATTTTCAAGCTTTTTATGATTCTGGCAAAAAAAATTATTTCTCATATAAATTCGAAATATTTATGGCAAATATTTGACTGTTATCGATTTTATAAACCGTGTGAGTTAAAAAAAACGTTGCTTATCGCAAGATTCATTTCACCAGCAAACAAAGAGGCGTCAATTTATTTACGTTACATTTTAATTGAACACACTGTTAGAGGCTGTAATAAAAAATTTTTTATATTATGGTCTGATGTGTGGCAACAGTAACAGCTGATTACCACAGACCGGTTGGCATACTTTAGAATCAACTTATCAAACAAATGAAAAATAAACAACTCTTTCAGTTTCACTCAATTTTTTCAACTCAACTTTGCATAAAACTTGCTTTTGCAAAAGTTTCAAAGAAGACGACAATGAAGAAGAAGACCACGAAGCGTATCAAAATCACTCAAGCCACACTTAACTTGGCCATGGACTTGAACTGCAGGTTGAATGGTCAAAAAGAAATTAGTATGAGTGGAGCTGTGAGCGATAGTTGGACAAGACGGTAGAAGCTGAAAAGTGAAATTGAATTTGAAGAAAGTTTTTTAAAAACTATACAAAGCTGTGGTGTGTTGTATAAATAAAATGACAAATATTTAAATTTGAAAAGTAAAATAATAATTTGCAAATAAAGTGTTTAACTGAAATTACATATACTCGTTGATATATTAATAAATATTTATTTAACAAATTTTCTATGGTTTTATGTGCATTAACAAACAAATATAAGCAAGTGATTTTTGACATGTGCGTTTTTTCGATTTACGTGATAAAAATACTTAAAAAATAATATATTTACTAATAAAATAAAATAAAAAATATATATATATGTATATATATATTTATATAATTGTAGCAAAAATGAATCCATTATTTTTGCACCAAATTGAAGATTTTATTTACCATAGTGAAAATACAAAATACTCTGATTTGTATAAAATAAGCACAGTTTTGCTCGATAACTTCTTGTCATTTTCAAGTTAATTTTATTATGCCGCATAGAATCACTTATTCTTATTAACCAAACCTTGAGAGAATCGATTTTCATAGGCTTCTCTTGAAGCCAATTGCTGAACAACCAAATCAATCGCAGTATACAGTAATATATAATAATCCCTTCGTGCTTGGTCTGGACCAAAATCTGGATGCGTAAGAGCTACACAACCGTGCTCGGAGAACTTCTGGCGAGTCACTATCGATGTGTGTAGTCTGGCGTTGTCCTGATGAAACATAATTCCTGTTCCATCTGAACGATTGCTTCCTTCAAACGCTTCAATCGATGATAGTACAAGTCGGAGTAAAGTATTCGGCCTTAGGGTAGTGGCTCATGTCAATCTCACCACCAAAAACACAACAAAACTTTTCTGGTCGCCAATTCTGGCTTGGAGACCGTTTGTCCCAACCAAATATTCATCGGGCACGACTGTATTTGTTTGACGTAGTGAGTAGGTGATACACTGTAGGTGATACACCTTTCATCATCAGTCATAACCCGTTTCAGAATTCGATTTTGTTACGCTTCAACTGCGTTTTGCAGAAAGAAATGCGGTCTATGAGGTTTTTATTCGTTAACTCGTGTGACAACCGTGCATCGAGCTTCTTTGTGTATCCACAAATTTTAAGTGGCTCCGAACTATTTTTTTCTGAAATTTTAGCTCCTCTACAATCAAAGCAGTGCTCACATGATGCTCAGATATTTTCATCAAAATTGCCTGAACGAAATCTAAGAAAACAAAATAGTATATGGCGGACTGTATCTGGATCAAAAACGCTACTGGCTTCTGGCGTATAAAAATTTATAGAAAATAGAGAATTTTTTCTTCGCTAGTGTCCATCCCTGAGATGCGCTCAAAAACTACTGATTTAAGTGATCAACCCTTCTGTTATAGTCTTTTTTAGTGCAAAATATCATCTGTCTAGCGCCATCTAGCGCCAGAACACTAAAGCCATCTATTTTAAAAAGAAAGGATTTCTTTTTACTTACTACCATTGTATTGTATATGCACATACAAGATAAACAAAATTATTCTGGAATTTTTTTTAACAATATTTACGTTTACTAAAATCGAGCTAAACTTGAAAAAATAATTAAAATAAATATATAATTAATATAAAAAATAGTAAATATAATAACCCCTTATAATAAAACCAGCAGCCATTCGGAGGCGGATTATTGGATTATTATAAACTGTAGGCTCCTCCATTTGTTGGAAAAACATCAAAACGCAACCCGGCCGAAAATCGCTTCAACGGTTACAAATAATAATAAATGAACAGAAGCAAATTATACAAAACAAATAAAAATTCAAGAAAAAAATAATTATAAATTTTAGTACTAATTTCAAGCCAAATCAAAAATGTGCTCTTATTCAAAACCACTTTTCAAGCAATTGCGCGGCTTGTCAACGAAATTTCACCCAACACCTATTTAAACCACAATGAAAGTGATTTTTATTTACTTTTATTTATTTATTTATTTTTTTTTGCTTTTATTTAATAATTTCTTTTAATTAATTTTTTCTGTTTTTTTTCATTTTTTTACTTTTTTTAGTTTCTTTTCTTTCACTTTTTATTTTTATTTATTTGGAAGTCGCACACGCGCAAACGCATTCGTTGCGTCTTCACTGCGGTAGTCACAAGACGCTAAACGACAATTTAATATGCTTTGCGTAGCTTCTTTAACGCTTTCATGAATGTGTGTAATGTGTATATACACATAACACCGAATGTGTGTCAAACAAAAAGAAAAACAAACAAACAACAAGTTGAATTTGCGCGAAGTGTTTTAAATTTTTATTATTTTTATTTTTATTTATTTTTTTCTTTCATTTTATGCATTTCCTTCTTTCCCCACTTCGCATCTGTATAAATAAACTTACTTGCAAACATATGTATACATGTATATATATATATATATATAAATATATATATGCCAGAGTGCTTTATGTTTATACCGGCTTCGTTAGTTTTCTGTGATTTATGTGATTTGGATCTGTGCCAAAAGAAAGTGTGATTTGCTTGATGAAATTTAATAAAGGTGTACAAAATATATGTAAATGTGTTACTGAACTGATATTGAAGAGTTATTGCGCTTACATAATATACAGTTGCATTACATGTGAAAAACTAATAGACAGCAACGAATTATGGCTTACAAATGGCTTATATATTTGGCATATTTTATGGTAACACCATCACTGCTGCCGGCTATTTCCTATCAAAAACGTAACTATGATTTCCGATATGCCAATTCGGATGTGCCGCAATGGAAGCAACGTGTAAGTTTGGAAGCGCTAACAACACAGTTTCACTTAAGAATTGTAGTAAATATATATGTATTTAAGTTACTTGTAAGTTACTTAGGCGTAATAGCATTGCCCAATGACTTTACCTAAATTTTTAGATAACTACGAGTTATAATACAGGGTGGCCTCACAAGCCTCACAACTGTCAAACTTAACTGTCAAACCGAAAATGATTTGTTTTAGTCCAAACGCAGGCATTTATGAAAATGGGACGCTTAACAACCACATCATCCCATCATCCCATTTTTATAAATGTCTGAGCTTGGACTTAAATACTGTAGATACAAATTTTAAAATCTACCACATACATGCCCACAATTCCAGCTTTAAGAAGCGGTTATGGTGCACAAAATCGTCCAGCTACTCAAGCAATATGTACCAATATATTTTAAGAAATTTGGAGAGACTAAATCGACTGCAGATAATGTACGGACTGTGCATTCTCGTCTTGCTCGTTACACCTCAAATATCGCTACTGTTGGTAAAAATGTAACCGAAGATCCGAATGTGTCTATTTCGTGACTTTCTCAACAGTTGAGACTTTCTAGCGGTACATTATGGCGTGTTATATACTTGGACTTACACCTACATCCATATGAAGTCCAGCTCACACAACAACTGAATCCAGCTGACCATTCTCAACTACCTACAAAAGTCGATTGGGTACATGAACAACAATCAGTGGACGACGTTTATTCGAACGAAATTTTCTTCAGCGACGAATCTCATATCTCAATCGAGAGAAACGTGAATAGGCAAACTGTCGCATGGAGCTCCGAGAATCATCAAAGCCATGACACCCAAAATAATGCTTCTGTCTGGTGCGGTGTTTGGTTCGGAAATAGTGACCTTGCTTTCGCTGTCAATTTGGAGCGTTTGTGGGTTGGGTTTGGACAATGCATCGCCCGCTACCACCAATATTTGGCCGGCATAATCCCATAGCAGAGTCGGTGCTTCAAGCAGCCATAACTTCGTACTACGTTTACTCATATTACTCAGAGATGTCGTACGGAGTATACTTTTGTAGGGGCATAAGAATTTTCACGCGGTAAGGCATGCATGTCGAAAGAGGCGGCTACAATCGAAAAGTTCACGCGGTAAGTAAATCTTTATACCGAAACGTCCCGGAATTTTATACTGCCAAGGACGGTCAGTCCCACAACATTCATAAGACAGAGGAACTTTTTGCAGCTGTGTAGCAAAGTAATGAAGAAGATCCGAAAGAGTTCTTCCGCCAACGGGCTGACAAATTGGAGCTATGCTAATGTACTCTATGGAAGTTTTTGTTTAAGAATCTTGGTGTGTGGGCTAACAAAATCTAACTGGACGACGAGCAACTAATAAACGTTTGGTGAATGGGCTCTAAGCCGGATGGCCAATGAACCCTATTTTTTCAAGAAAATTATAATCAGCGATGAAGGTCACTATTGGTTGAAAATTCTCGCATATTTGGTGTGATGACAATCTACAAGATATTACCAGCATTGCGTAATGATATGCGGAAGACCAGGATTCGAGTTCTTGTCTGATCAACATAGAAAATAAATTTAAATAAATAATTAAATTCAATTTCTTGGAAAACATTTAGACGCTTATCCCAAACCGAATGACAAGCTCGCCGGAAATCAAATCAGCGGTTACAAAGCCTCAATTATGTATATATATATATATATATATTGTTGAGATGACGTTCAATCCTCAAAATGTCACTGTTTAGTATGCTTTTTGGACCGAGGGTATAATTGGTCCATGTTTATCTGACAATAAAGTCTGTCATAATGATATAGTCAAAGGGGAATGCTATAAAGCCATGAGTAATGACTGCGTACTTGAATTAGAAGATGTTGGAGTGGGCGACCAATGGTTCCAACAAGATGGTGCAACATGCCATACAGCACACGTTCCAATTCGTTTTTTTTTTACAAAAAGTAAAAAGTACTATTAGGCTATATGAAGTAGCTCGTATACGCAAGCCAACCCAAGACAATTGACTCCTTGGCAAACAATATTCGGGTGACATGCGGCCCCAATTGCTAGAATTTATTCAGCGGTTATTGTAAAAAATAATGGCAATCCGCTATCTTAAAAATAACGTGCGTATGCCTAAAAAACACCCTTTTTAATTTGAATGAAAATATACTCCAGATTTTCAGTTTATAATTGCGGGCCGGTAGTCATGTGTCGGCGCTTATCAGAAAAAAAAGTCTTTCTTTTTTGTCTATATAAAACTTTTTATCAAATTTTAACACTTTTACAAATTCAATATGTATTGATTAATCCATACTTATGTTTCACCACTTACAGGCCTGTCAAAAAACCCAGCGAGAGAAAATGAATTTACATTACATTTGTGATGAGAAGGGTAATGTCAAGTGTCTGCCCGGATGGCAGGGTGACCTGTGTCAAGTGCCACAGTGTCGGAAAGGATGTGATCCAATGAACGGTAAGAACGAATGGTGATAATTCTAAAAATACAATAACAATTTTACAATTCACCTTTACCAAGAGAGGTGACATTTACAGTACATGTACAAGTGCCAATATGCCTAAAAGTATGCAAAGCAAAAGTTTTTGTGGCAACTTGCATTTAGATATGAGAAGATATACATTTGGAATAGGCTCAATATTATCCTGTTCTGATCTGCTAATCACTCAAAAATCCTTTGAAATAATGCGAACGGTGGGGCAAGATCAGCATGCAAGCTGTCTGTTGATAGTGGAGGCTTTAAACAACATCCAAGATGACTGTTTATCACAACACGATTGATCTGGTCATGGGTTTTTCGGTCCAGAGGCAGCCGAATACATTGATGAATTTTCTTGTGCGAAGTCTGATGCTATTGATAATCATATTTCCGGTCCCGGTGAAGTCCATCAGCTCAATCCATTTGACTATGTTCCATAGTGGAGGCTGAATTGTCTGACAGTTGTACCAAAGAAACCTTCTTGGTTTATTCTGGAGTTAAAGTTGACAAGCACAATCGTGAGGGGACAGCAGTCATAAAAGACATCCGTGATCATATCATGCTTCTCTATCTCTAATATCGCCTTCATGACATGACGACTTAATCTCTTTTTCACAACGAATCCAACACCATATTTGCGCTCCTCTAAATTACCGCTGTGGTAAATGTCCGTTTCCCGTTCATCGCACTTCTTGAGGGGAGGGGCGGAAGATATCAGACTGTGGTCTTACGCGAACAGCCAACAACGGGGCAGTAGCACTTTCCCAATGTCCTCAACCCGTTAATAGTTGAAGTCAAATATAGAGTCTCACATCCGCAGCGTTATTGAACTTTTCATTGGAACCCAAATAATGGGCCCCAACCCCAGCGCTCGACATAGCTAGGCAAATGTGTCGGAGTGGCTCCGCTGACGCTTCCTGCTTTTTATTTATGCCCAAAGGGTAGATTATTACATCCTTCACAAAGGATGCTTGAGATCCAAAACGATTCTTGTTTTGGAATACAAAATTGGTTTAAAATAGCAGGATTAGGGTGCGGTCTCTTAATCGAATCGAGCCGGTGTTGAAAAATTTCCTCGTCCGATAGGACAAAATGGGCTACTGCTAGACTTGTCTCAACCATATTAAGTGCGCTTCTATTGTCAACCAAATTTTTCGTCGCTCTTCCCTTTGAGTGTGGCTTCCTATCTTGGAGTTGCCATAGCATTTATGAATAAGTATTTTCTAAACCTTTCTCTACCAAATCTGCACTAACAGATGCACAATTGATTCGGACACTATCCAGCCGTATCTTTAATCCGAAGTGACAAAGCGCTAATTCTGCTAGACAATTAATAATTTCGAAAACAACTGCAGGCTTAGAAAACGTTTATTACAAAAGTCTACACCTATTGCGATGCAAATCTGCTGCAAAGACCCCTCTACATACAAAACCATTTGCATACAAATGAAAAGATTTGTTCTCCTTCCAGGCTATTGCCAACGTCCGGACGAGTGTCGCTGTCGCATCGGTTATACAGGCGAGTTTTGTGAACGCTGCATACCACTGCCGGGCTGCCAACATGGCTACTGCAATAAACCGTTCGAATGCATTTGCAAACCCGGCTGGGATGGACTCTTCTGCACCGAACGTAAGTAAACATACATACATGCGAGTGCACACATACATACATACATACATAGGATTTCATACACATGCTGCTACAAATCAATGTTTATTATGAAAATATTTCATTTCGAAACAGCACTTTTATATTGGCTTATATTCACATACATACAAACACACACACACAACCACAAACAGCTACAAACTACAAAAATATGGCTCACTTGTTTTCGCTTTTGCTTTGCTTTTAGCCACCTGCCGTGCGGGTTGTCACAACACACGTGGCTATTGTGAGGCACCTGGTGAATGCCGTTGTCGTCTGGGCTGGGCTGGGCGCAGTTGCAGCGATTGTGCCGTTTTGCCAGGCTGCCAACATGGCACATGTCAAAAGCCACTCGAATGCAATTGCCTGCCCGGCTACACGGGACTACTATGTCAAACAGGTGAGTGTGAGTATGGTAGTGTGTGAGTGCACGAATATATTATATATGTAGGTGTCTGTGTGACTGGTGGAGATTTTAATGAAAATTAATTGAAAAATTGCCCAACTGATCACTTTAAAGCCCAAATTTATTATTGCCTTCCAAGCAGTAAATTCAGGGATCTTTATGTCTACTACACTTCCAAAGGACAGTGATCATAAGCTGATATAGCCTGTTCGTCTACTCCATTAGAATGATACACTTCATTAAAATCCAGAAATAAACCTTGAACCTCGAACCTCTCTCTACCTTTTCTAAAAGGAAGTTGTATATGAAGGTAGGCAGGCAGGTTGCAGTGTATTCGAAGAACTTCAAAAACTCTGGTCCAAATAACGTTTGATATTCTATTTTGAAACACACTTTGGCATTGGCGTGGGTACAGCTTAAATGATTATAACCGAATAAACCAGAGCATATCAGCTTCTTCTTCTCGCTGCTTTACACCAATTGAAAATACTAAACGAAACCAAGTCGCCTTTTATACTTCCAGTGGAAACCTCCTATTCCTCTTATATCATCACCGAGCAGAAGAAACTCGCTTTGCTGTGGAATATGACTATATTTCCACCCGCCGGGGCGAACGCCCGGATTCAACGACAAGTCTCTCATCCGATACTTTTTGTGATTCTTCTGTAGGTTCGCCTTTCAAATTTAGCTGGCCTCTGAACAGAGGATACTTTCTCTAAGACCCGAATTCGTGAGCCGCTTGAACCATATTACTATTAAATAAACGCTACTGTACTCAAGGGTGTACTCAATGAAGCTGCTATTAAGTTATTAGATTTAATACACGGCTCGGTATCTGAATTATTTTAACTTTATGTATTAATGTTTCCTTACTCCCCTCCGATTCGCGGCAACCACTGTAATTGAACAGACCCATTTTTGATGCATGCCCGGCGAAGAGCTCGTTACCCGGTAACATGACTTTAAGACTACATATATTTTACTTGAGTTGGATTTAGATAGTAGTTTCTAAGTGGCATTTTTTCGTTAGTGGCATTTTTCGTTAACTGAAAAGTTTTTATGGCCGGCAATCCAGGTTATAGAGACCTTCAGTCGACCCGCCATTGAGATTTATGCTTTCCCACAATTGTTGATTGCGCTTGAATTAGCGATGATAAAGCCAGCCATGCTGCTTTGCTTGAGTATATTGTCGGTGCTATACATTAGGAATCCACAGGCTTTTCCTATAGCTAACTGAGCTTGATACACGTAAGGAACGTGAGATTTTCAGATCTTCGAAACTTTCGTCAGTGTAGATTTTATTCTCCTCTTTTACAAAATCTCTTCCGCGACTTAACATAATGAGGTAACATAATGACTTGAAATAATGACTTAACATAATTACTTAACATAATGACTTAACATAATGACTTAACATAATGACTTAACATAATGACTTGACATAATGACTTAACATAATTACTTAACATAATGACCTGACATAATGACTTGACATAATGACTTGACATATTGACTTGACATAATGACATAACATAATAGGTCTTGTAGCCCCGACACAGGCTTTTTCATCATTTATTTCAAAATTTTAAGAATATATTTATACATGTTTCAAGAATATACAGTGAAATTTTTGAAGAAAAAAATTTAATTATTTTTAAAGTTATAGTCGATTTTCAACGGCTCGAAAAAAGGTCCTTCACTGCTGCAGTGATTTCGGCCTTCTCCGTGGATGAAATCTAAAAAAAAAAAATACTGTACAATGACCTACGATAAAAAAAAAATCAAAAATTAAAAAATATAGTCGAATTTTACCCAAAATTTTCGTCGTTTTTGGCTTACCACAATTCGATTTTTTGATCAGATCAAAAATCGATAGGTCATTGTACGGAGAACTATATATAGAATATGTAAAAAACTTCAATAGTGATCGGATCATTTGTTTTTGAGTGATCACTGCAGCAAATTCGGAAAATCCTGTTTCGAGAAATGCACGTTTAAAGATAAAATGATCGTTTTCACTCGTAGCTAATGAGACTCTCTAGCTGCCGAGCGGCTGGTCTTTATATTGCTATAACTCAAAAACTATTGTGTGCCCTTTAACAGAGCACGTTTCTTCGTCCTACTCTTTCCATCATGGTGTCCGCCGTTCCATTGAGCTGTATAGTGAGTCTTGAATGTTGCCGAAAGTAACGATCAAAATATTAATTATCTGTGCCATTTCTTTCCCTGGTTCTGGAATCTCTAGTCCATCGGGAGAGCACCACGTCTGCAGAATTTTGTTGCTGGGTATATATATATATATATATATATATATAATAGGCACCGTGTGTGAGTGTGAATGCTTTGTTTATGTGACTTTTCTTTTTATTTCTGTTAATTTATTCACTTTTGGTCAATTTTCATTACTCTTGTTTAGCTATTTGCGCAACGGGCTGTCACAAGCAGCGAGGATATTGCACCAAACCAGGCGAATGCCGGTAAGTTTATTCAACTGAAAATGGATTTAAAATAAAATACTGTATATTGGCAAATTTACGTGCAACAGGAGTACTTGTACATATGTACATAGCATATGTGTTATGTATTTATTTATATATACCTGAATTTGTTGCTATTTTTTGCACACCGTGTATTCTTATTTTGATTTCAGCTGCAAAGTTGGTTGGACGGGCGAAAATTGTGGCCAATGTTTTCCCTATCCAGGCTGTGTGAATGGCGACTGCGAACGACCCTGGGAATGCAATTGCAAACCCGGTTGGGGTGGCATGCTGTGCGACGAAAGTGAGTAGGCAATGCAGATGATGACAGATGCAGATGTACAAATAAATATTTCAAAATAAAATATTAGTTTTCATACAAATATTGCCTCTACTTACACTCACCTTTTCTCTCTCACCCTCCCTCTGTCTCTTCCACTTTCTCCCCAACTCGCAGAACTGACATATTGCGCTGAGCATCCAAATACTTGTGAAAATGGCGGACGCTGCATATCATACACAAAAGAGGATGGCAGTTATCGCTGCGAGTGCAAGCAAGGATATCTGGGTAAAAATTGTGAGATTTTAGATGAATTTATTTTGACCTCAACAACAGCGCCGCGCATCACACCGCCACCAATGCCCCAATGGGGTGATGATATGGAGAATGAAACGACAAATAATGACGCTGGTGAAAGAGTTATAGATGCAGAGAAACAGTTGGAAAATGAAGTGGCGCAAAATAATACTACAACAACAACAACCAAACCTGCGCTACTGCACAATTCGTTAATAAGAGAGGCATTACCAACTGAAACTACTGGGGAGTTGATAAATGACACCAAATCTCTTGATGCCCACAATTCTAATGCCACTAAGCCCACAAATGCAACACACCTTTCAATTGTGCCCACACAATTGCCCGAAGTAAGCAATGCAACTGTTGTATCGGTCAAGCAAAACTCAGCAGGCGCCATAGAAGCAACAGCAACAGCGGCAAAAACTCATTTGAATTTAATAAATGTGTCAGCGAATGCTTTAAAATCACCCCAACCCACCGCAGCAACGCAGCCTAGCCGCTCGGCAGACGAGAGTGGCAACAGCACAAGCTCAACTGCATCACCGGCCACAGTCGCCTCTAGTCCCATACCAATACCATTGCACTTCTTTGATGCTTCCTCGCTAGCAAACAAGAAAATCTCGCACACACTTGCAAGCGTAAATTCAAATCTGGCCGCTCATTCCGGTAATAAGGTGGCAAATGAAGTTGCTAATCGTGATGAATATGACGAGGATACTGATGACGACGAGGAAGCTGATGAAGTTGATGAAGAGGGTGATGACGAAGACGAGGACGATGATGATGATGATGATGACGAGACTGAAGATGACGAGGAGGATGAAGATGATTTAATACCAGACGTGCTCAACAGTGTTGCATAGCGTTGACGAAGCGTCTCCATCCTGCTGCTCATATTTGAGTTATGGTTTTGTCCAATGGTTGACCTGACGACGCTTGAATTTAATTAATTACTCATTACTTGTGTACACATATGGTTACTGTTTATGCATTTGCATGCATATATTGATTATATATATGAGCATAAATATATAGGTTAATCTGGTATTTATTATTAGATTAGCGACACATGTTGTCCAAGGGACTTACTTAGATATTTCCTAGCAACAAATCGTTGTTGTTATTATAGCATGGAAATTAGTATTGTAATTATTTATTGTATTCTATTTATTTATTACATTTATAATACATATATTTATAGCAAGTGAAAAAGTGTTTCTTTCTCTTTATTAATACAAATTGAAAAATCAGAGTTGCCACAGTTTTTTTCAAAGGTTAAAAATCTTGAGAGTTAGCTATATTACTGACTATGTTGAAAGTTCTTCGGCAAATTGCAAAAATAAATTTTTCTCAGAGCGTCAATTTGGAGACTTTAATGAATTTCCTGCTCTCATTGATTCCTACGCAATCTTGAACGGTTTATAACCATTCTGAGAGTGATTATTTTCACATAAATCCCACTTGAAATTAAAGAGGATATTATTGCAGCCACAGAATGACTTAAAACAAGTATACTGGAAACTACGTGGGCATCCATTCCACCACAAAATTATTAAAATCTAGGGCACGTTCATCACATTAGGCTGCTACGAAGGAAAATAAAGGAACAGCGTCCGGTGAGAAAAATCTGGCATTGAACTAAGTCTTATGAAGATAAATATAATAATTGCACCAACTTTTACAAAATTTAGAACCAACTCCCTTCTCAACGTTTTCTCGGTAAAAAACTAAAAAAATTATTTGATAAGAGCTAAGGAAATTCGCTAGAAGTGAGATACTAAGCGCTATCCATAGCCTTACAAAGCACTAGAGTATGAGTGCTAAGGTTTTAGGAAATCTTACTGATTAGGCCTACAACTTAATCATTCATATATATATTTAATGCTTGCCTAATTGAAAAGGTTTTCTTGTCCCATTTGGGAGGTAGCTGAAATCAATAGGATTTTCAAACCAGAAAGGCCTGCATAAGAAGTGAAGCCTTATCGGTCTATTAGCCTTCTATTTGTAGTGTCAAAAGAGTCTTAAATCTCCTTCTGAAAGGTATAATGGTCCAAATCCTCAATTCGGCTCTAGAAACTGCACTCTCCAGAGGCTGGTAGAAAAACTACAATCAGCGATAGAGAAATCTTCAATCAGCTCAACAACCTTCTTAAAATACAAAGGAGCTACTACTGAGCTTCTTTTTAACAATAAAATCATATCTGTGCTGACGTTTGTTCGATGTTACGTATGACACCGTTATACCTCCGTTTAACGGCGGAGAAGTTGTTGTTCCACAAAGCAGCATGCTTGATGCAGGTGCGGAAGGTTGTGAGAGAGAGAGAGCAGACTCCTGAAGGACACATAGAAGTGATCTAGCTACTGATACCCAGAGCATGCTGGATTTATGGAGAGTACACTTCTCGACCCTGCTAAATAGCAGTGAAAATGGCAGAGTGTGGTTGGTCGACAGCATGCCCGACTGTTGGAATTTAAGTGTCTCTGCCCAATCTATAAAAAAGACCCCACAGTCCGCGCAAATTATCGTGAGATAAGCCTCCTTAATATCACCTATAAGGTTCTGTCGAACGTATTATGTGAAAGACTGAAGCGCACCGTCAACAAACTGATTAAACCTGATCAGTGTGGCTTCAGACCTGGTAAGTCCACCATCGAGCAGATGTTCACCATGTGCCAAATTTTGGAACCCACCACCTCTTCGTCGATTTTAAAGCCACCTTCAACAGCACGAACAGAAGCCGCCTCTACGCCGCTATGTCTGAATTTGGTATCCCCGCAAAACTTATACGGCTGTGTAAGCTGACGCTAGATAACACAAGAAGCGCAGTCAGAATCGGGAAGGACCTCTCCAAGTCGTTCGATACCAAATAAGGTTTCAGACAGGGAGATTCTTCATCGTGTGACTTTTTTAAGTGACGAAGAAAATATACCAGGTGCAGTGCTAGCAGAGCTGAATAGGGAACGTACAATATTCTATTGGCCTCAACAACCACGCCGTGAGTAATACCTTCTCCGGACTGGATAAGAAAGCGAGAGATATGGGGGTCTGATAGTCAATGAGGACAAGACGAACAAGACCAGTCACCGCATTCGCGACTCGGCTCTCACGTTACTGTTCACAGTCATAACTCTGGACTAGTAAATAATTTCGTCTATATGGGAACCAGCATTAACACCAATAAAAACGTCAATCTTGAAATCCAGCGCAGAATCATTCTTGCCAACAGCTGCTACTTTGGGCTGAGTAGGAAATTGAAAATTAAAGTTCTCTCGCGACGAACGAAAACCAAACTCTACAAGTCCCTCATCGTGCCCGTCCTGCTATATGGTGATAAGTGGCTGTTGGGAAGTGTAGAGAGAAGGGTTTTTCGTAAGATTTACGGTCTTCAACGACTTAGTAGCAGCGAATACCGCAGACGATGGAACGATGAGCTGCAAGAGTTATACGGCAACCTTGGCGTAGCTAAGCGAATCAAGAAACAGCGGCTACGGTGATTAGGTCGTGTGGTCCGGATGGATGCCAATACTCCAGCTTTGAAAGTTTTCGTTGCAATATCCGCCGATGGAAGCAGAGGAAGAGGAAGACCTCCACTCCGTTGGAAAGACCAGGTAGAGAAGGATGTGGATATACTTGGTATTTCGAATTGGCGCCAAATGGTAAAAAGAAGAAACGAATGACGCAATGTTGTTAAATCGGCTATAATCGCGTAAGCGTTGTCTACGATAGTAAAGTAAGTAAGTAAGTATGTAAGTTATATTAAGTTATATGCACGTTCTATCTTCTGGAATATCACTTGCTTAAAAAAACACCCTTTAAGTACTTGTGTAGTGCAATGGAGTATGGTTCCCCTTCTTACTAAGTAGGCAGTCGCAAAGAGAGAGAGACAGAGAGAGAGAGAGAGATAGAGAGAGAGAGAGAGATAGAGAGAGAGAGGGAGATAGAGAGAGAGAGAGATAGAGAGAGAGAGAGAGAGGGAGATAGAGAGAGAGAGAGGGAGGGAGAGAGAGAGAGAGGGAGGCAGAGAGAGAGATAGAGAGAGAGAGATAATACAGTGGAGACACTCCCATCAGTGGTATAGCATCGACTTTGTGACGGCCTTGAACCAAGCATGTAAATATTTTTCAGTTCAGTTGTTTCATAGAGCCTTCTCATTCTCCGCAAGGGAGTTACGCGGAATCTCAAACTCCCACAAATATAAAGGGTGCAGCTATTATTGATTACGTTGATCTGCGGTCAGCAGAAATGCTAAGCTGTCTGAACCAAAATTGTAACTAAAATAAAAAATAGCCTAAAGAAGTGAGCCCATATGTCCGACATTAACGAGCAGATGTATGAAACTTTACCACAAAACAATTAACAACCATAAAATAAATTGAATATTTGTATTAAGCCTACCAAACAAAATAAATCCTGTAAATCCTGTAAATCCTGGCAAAAATTTCATTTACATAAACGAAAATTAAAATGAAAAACTACGAACGGAATGAACGGCGGCGAAACTACAGCAAAAATTGCAAGCCGAAAAAAAAATAAAATAAAAATTAACAGTGTTTTTGTTGCTTAACACGGTAATGTTGCTGCTATTGTTCTGAAATACTTTTAATTTATGTACATGAGCTAGGTGGCAACAACAACAAGAGCCGATGCAGCAAGAATAACGGTGAAGAGCAAGAGCTGAAGCTGGCAAAATGATGCAGCATACAAATAAGCACAAAAACCGCAACAACAACATGAGCAAAATAATGAAATGAGAATCGACAACAACATGCAGCCGGCAAATACACAGAGGGGGTATGGAAAAAATAATGAAGCGCGAAAACTTTCCGCACTGATTGCCGCAAGATAGCAACAAGCAACGCGTAGGAAAGCAAAAAGTAAGAAGAAAATAAGAGGAAGGAGAGGAAGGAGAGGAAGGAGAGGAAGGAGAGGAAGAAGAGGAAGAAGAGCAAAAAAGAAGAAGAAATACAGAGCAAGCCCATTCTTTCATTCTATTCACTTATATATTTTTCATTTCTCGCAACGCTTTTGGCAGGTAGCAGCAACAGCCGCACGCCAACGCTCGGTGGTAGACAGCGCTTGGCAGCAGAGGCAACTGCTGTTGCTTGTCTACTTATAATCTCTTTGTAATTCACTGCAATAATTGCAATTTCCTGTTCAACCAACTAACTGCGCCACCCTCCGCGCACACCCGCCAACAGTCGCCGGTACGGATGCTGCTGTTTGTTGCTGTTGGCAGTTGTTTTTGTTAGCGGTGTTATATTATTACACTGTCACTCTACATAGGTGTGTAGTGTTGTAAGTTTGTGCGGCAAGTTCGGTAAATTATGTACAATACAAAACTTGATTTTCGTTTTTTGAAATTTCGTAAGTCTTCACCTGTCAAATTCACCACTCACCCCCACGGCTCAACCCGGTACTTCCTGCAGTTTCTTAGGAGCATCCTGCACCCTTGCTTTTACATACATACGTGTATATCTACAACAAACACATACACATTCAAAGTGTGTATGCCACTGGGTAGGTTGTTATGGCATTGTTCATCGTCCCGATTCGCCTTTTGGTATATCAAAAGTAAGTGGAACGCAAAGTAATTACAGCCACTGAAAGAAGATCAACTTTTTTTCTTTTTATTTTTTTGGATATGTACACTGAGACTATTTAATTTTCAATACGCTCTGAATGCTTAACATTTATTGGCACCTAATGCAAGCATGCTTACATACATATATACATTCATACATACATTTAGAGCGCAAGATTGCATTTCCAGTCAGTTTGGCTGTGTGTTGGCGTTGCTCAGACAGAGGAAATGCCATTTCCGTTACAGTTTACCTTGTACCTTTACAAGAAATTACACTAGTTTACAGCTTAGAAGAAAGTTGAAAATAATAAAAGAATACATATCTTATATACAAACTGCCAAACTCTGTGCCACTATCCTTGGCTCCTGCTCTATGGCTCACAATAAGGAGTTATCCTTTTTTGACTATTTGTATGTCTCTTCCTCTGCTTTTGCCAGCGAGTACAGCATCGAAAAATATCAAATCCGGAGTTTTTTCATACAATTGAACGAAGATACTTGTGCGGTGGGGCTGCTGTTTGTTGGTTCCCTGAACTAAGCCATTGTCGCCGCATATATCATA